GGGACGAGGCAAACAAGAGGGCAAGGGGGAGATGTGTGGGAAGGGGGAAAAGAAGGTTAGTGGGACAAAAAAAAGGCAGGGAAGGAAGGGAAAAAAAGGGAGGGAAACAAAAAGGGGGAAGAAATAAAAAAAAAAAGGGAGTGGGAGAAAAGGGGGCGGCTTTGTTGAAGGAAAAAAGGGGCCATGGGAATTTGATAGTTCTTTTGGGTTGGGCCCGCAGGGGAAAAAAAAAAAAAAAAGAAAGAAAAGGGCAACGCCAGGTTGTTTCAAAACGCTCAAGTTGGGGCGTTGGGGGAAAAGCGGGGGTTTTTGAAAAAAGTAAAAACAAAGGGGAGGGCAAAAAAAAAAAAAAGAAAGCTGGTCGCTTTTGCTGCCAGGAAAGGGGGTTCAGGTTGGGGATCGGGAAGAAATAAGACAAGGGGCTTTTGAAGCCGAGAAGGCCCCAGGATGCGCCAGAGTATAGGCTGCGTGGATGGGCCGGGCGGGTCGGTGGGAGGAAGGTTTTCCCTCGGGGGCAGGGGAAGGGAAAAAGGGGGCCAGACCCAAAGCCTTGCAAGAGGGTTTCTCTGAAAAAAAAACGCGGGGCAGGCGCAAAAGGTGGGTGGAAGAAAAAAAAAAAAAGTAATCTTTTTTAAAAAAAACAAGGGAATAAATGGAAAGCGTTGATTTTGGCCCCATCCAATTCTTGGGGGGAATGGGAATAGCCAAATACATAGGGCTTTGAAAAAGTCGCTTCTTTGGAACCTCGGAGGGATGAGTGGGGGCAAAGGTGCCCAAAAATGATAATGTTAACACGCCTTAAATCATTTGTTAATCCCCCCGATAATCGATTACGCTGATAAAAAAAAAATATAAACAAAAAAAAAGTAAAAAAAAAATTTAAAAAAAAAAAAAAAAAAAAAACAATAAAAAAAAAAAAAAAATATAAAAAAAAACTAAAAAAAGTTCACCATGAGGCCTCGGGCTTGCGGTGGGTTCAAAAAAAGCCTTGTTGTAAAAAAATCCTTAAGAAGCAACTTCTTGGAAAAGGGGCCGGAAGGGCGGGCGGGAATTTTTGCTCCAAAAGGGTTTTGCAGACAGAGTTCGGAAAAAAAAAAAAAAAAAAAAAAAAAAAAAAAAAAAAAACCAAAAAAGCCTTGGAAAGGCAAGAAGGGCAAAAAAAAAAAAAAGGGAACGCCGCGTCTCTACGTTATTTTAAAAACAAAATAAAAAGAAATTAGAAAAAGGAAAAAATAAATTAAAAAAAGTTTCCCAAAAAAAAATAAAACTAATAAGAAAATATTTAAAGTATATTAAACACAAATACACAACCACGCGCAAAAAAAAAAGATTGAAAAAAGCTTTTTTGGGCATGGCTGGCAAAACAATTTTTGCCTGTAAGTTCCCAAAAAAAAAAATGCTACTCGGGTGAAGGCTTGAAGGCCAGCAAGGAGTTTGTTGGCCTTGTGAAAATAAAAAAAAAAAAAAAAAAAAGGGCCCAGGAAAAAAAAAGTGTGTTTCTTTGAGGTTTGTGCTTTGTGGAAAAGCTAGGCCTGACGCCACGGGCACTCAAATCTTCTAGCCTCTGTTTGCAAACAAAAAAAAAAAAAAAAAAAAAAAAAGCGAGACTCGTGTCTCAAAAAAAAAAATAAACAAAAAAAAAAAAAAAAAAAAAAATTTTAAAGAAAAAAAGAAAAAAAAAAAAAACAAAAAAATAAAAAAAAAAAATGGAAATAAAAAAAAAAGAAAAATAAAACTTAAAAAAAGCGGTTTTCACAAACACAAAAAAAAAAAGAGTTCAAAAAAAAAAAGAAACAACAAAAAAAAAAAAAAGAAAAAATGAATAAAAAAAAAAGAAAAAGAAACAAAAGGGAAAAAAAAAATATCTTTTGCTAAAACCAAAAGGCTTCCCTCTTCTTTCTTTGTTTTTCTGTTCAGGGCTTTTGTACGACAAAAAAAAACCCTTTTCCTTTTGGTTTCTGGGCGGAAGATCGGGGCCTGGTTTTTTCTGCTTTTGAGGCCAGGCAGAAAAAAAAGGGGTAAATTTTTTCCCCTTCGATAGTTTTGCGGGCTCGGGCTCACACCCCAATTCGGGGGAAAAACAAAAAAAAGGTTTTTTTTTCCACTTGGCCCAATAAGGGGAGGGGTAACAGGCTTTCTCTTTTTTGCCGCTTTGGGCACGGAAAGAAACGGGGACAATCCAGGGAAAAAATAGAGAAAAACTTCAGAATAAAGCTTTCTGGGCCCTTGGTTTTGGACCGCCGGCTTCTGCCGGGGGAAAAAAAACTTACAGTGCGGTTTTGCTTAACGGTTGGAAACAAAAAAAAAAAGGAAAAAAAAAAAAGGCCGGCAATGGGCGCCCCTTTACCTGTTTTTGGGGTCAAAAGCGGGGCCCCTAAGTTGGACGCCCTTTTTCTTGTGAAAGGGCTCGTTTGGTCAATATCAAGGTTTTTTTTAGGTGCGCGTTTTCCGGCGGTCCAGCCCTTTGGTCACGCGGCTGGGGCGTTTGCCTTGTCCAAAAAAACTCTCCTCAGGTGGTGTTGGAATTGGTGGAAGGGGTTGGCAACTGGAAAAAGGAGATAGGGTTAGCCAAAAAAGGAAATAAAACCCCCACTTTTTAACTCGAAGGACTTATGAAAAGAAAGAGAGTCTCAAAAACCCAATCCCACAGCCTTTTCCAAAAGTACAAGCTTCTCCAGCACACGGGGCGGTCCTTTTGAAAAAAAAAACAAAAACAACTGGTTGCTTACTTTTGGAGGAAAAATATAAAAAAAAAAAAAAGAAAAAAGGGTGTGGCACCAAAAACAAACTTTTTTACAAAGTTCGCAACGTTTTTTTAGCGGCTTGTTTGTTGGACCAAAAGGTAATAAGAGATTTTTAACCAAAGAACGTTAAAAAGCCCCAGGCCCAGCGGCAAGCCTTTTCTTTTTTTTTTTTTTTTGTCCACCCATTGCTTAAAAAGTTTGCCCTTGGAAAAGAAAAAAATCCTTTTTTAAAAAAAAAAATCCAACCTTTTAGAAGTTTAACCTTTAGAAATTCCACCGGGTTGTGGAAGTTGGGTTGTAAACTTTGGGGCCTTGTTGGGTTCCAATATAACCTCCAGGAAAAAAAAAGAAACTTAAAGATAAAAAAAAAAACACTTCCCATTTTATTTTTTTTTTTTGAGGCCGGGTTGTTGGTTGGGCTCGAATTGCCTGGTACAATCCTTGAAAAGCAAAAAGCAAAACTTTTCTGGGCCCGGCTTTTGAGTTGGTGGAAGGAGGGGAATCCTTTCGAGGTCATAAGGAAAGAAGTTTGGAGGAAATATCCAAAGCTCGTGGAGCAAAAGCAAAGAGGAACCCTCGGTCGCGTGCTTTTACTTATAAAAAAAAATTGTTTTTTTAAGGGGCAAAAAAAAAAAAGTATTTTTTTAAAAGCCGGGTGTTTTCTCATTAAGCTTTGGTTTTTTCCTGTTTGTTCTTTCAGCTGCCCGGGTGCGTAAGTGTCCTGAGGCTTCCCGTGTGAGGCATGGAGGGATCGCGTTGAGCCCAGGAGTTTTCGACCTGTGGGGTGCTGTGAGCTTTTTAGGCGACGGCGTCGACGCTTACTTCAGCGCCCGGCGCAATTATGTGAGATTCGCGTGTCTCAAAAAAGAAAGACCCCGTCGGTCTCATTATTGAGGGTCCGGATTGTTGTATACTGTTTTGGCATACACACTTCTGTCTTTATGAGCGGAGAAAGCCGGGAGTTTTAAATTGCGCCATGAAAGAAACGCAAGCTATTCAATCACCTGGGGCAGGTCGAGGGGACCGGTGACTGTCGGTCGTTGGCGCTTGAGTCATCTGCCGCCTTGCCGAAGGCTTCACGCTTGTCTGAGTTTCACGTTAGGCCAGGGCGGACCACAAGGTTCACACGAGGTCACACGGCCCAACACGTCTTCTCCATTAATGGTGAAGGGACGATTGGCATCCTCCTAGGAGGAATGAAATAAAATCAAACACAAAGATCAATTCCAAATGGATTAGAGACCTAATTGCCAAATGCACAAGGTTTTGAGTTTGAGAAGATGACACAGAAGAGGGCCATCTTGACACTGGGGTAGGGGATGGTTTCTAGAGCATGAGAACGGTAACTACCTACTCCAAAGGAAAAGGTAAAGAAATTCAACCACATTCAATATAAGAACGTTTGCCCATCAAAAGAAACCATGGGTAAAGAGGAAAGACAAATTGACAGCACATATAACTGACAAAGAAAGAGTAAAAAAAAAATTCAACAACTATAAATCAAATCAGGTTGGGTGCGGTGGCTCACACCTGTAATCCTAGCTCTCTGGGAGGCTGTGGAAGGTGGATCATTTGAGCTCAGGAGTTTGAGACCAGCCTGAGAAAGAGTGAGACCCCATCTCTACTAAAAAAAAATAGAAAGAAAGAAAAAAAATTAAAAAAAATAAAAAAAACAGAAAGAAATTAATTGACCAACTAAAAATATATAGAAAAATTAGCCGGGCATGGTGGCGCATGCCTGTAGTCCCAGCTACTTGGGAGGCTGAGGCAGGAGGATCACTTGAGCCCAGGAGTTTGAGGTTGCTGTGAGCTAGGCTGACACCATGGCACTCTAGCCCGGGCAACAGAGTGAGACTCTGTCTCCCCTCTCTCCTCCAACCAAAAAAGAAAAACAAAAAAGAAATCAAATCAATTGGCAAAAAGGAACGACCTGCAACCCTGACCGTTTACAATCTGTGCTCCCACCAACCATGTATGGGGGCCCTTCTGGTACATATCCTTCACCATTGCTGTGACTTGTCAGGGTTTTAATATTTTTAACTCAAATTAGAAATGA